TGTGAATGAATAAAATGTGATACAAAAATTAAATGCATTAAAAATGCATATGCAAAATGCAGGGTGTTGATCCTGGAACGACTCCTTAGAACAACTCTTTATATTAGAACGACGTTCAATTACAAAGTTGAAACATATCACAAATAAATTTGCACCATCTCTCCTATTTCTTGTACGTGTGCTAGTAACTCTACAATCTTCTGATTTTCTTCAGCCTCTAGATCCAGTTCTTCAGTTACATCAGCAGCTTCCTCAGATAGAATGACCAAATATTGAGCTATTCCCCGCGCGTGTTCTAGGTAACAAGCAATAAAGTCCTCTCTTTGCTTGAGTCTCGCCTGAGCTCGCTCCCATCGAAAACGCCACTGTATATCCCCCTCATAGGGAACTATCGATAGCTCACTTGCTTGCCTCTGAAACTCTTGAACCATGGCTTCAAGCTCGCTCACTTGTCTCTTCAAACTTTCAACCTCCCCTTGGCTCGAGCTACCTTCCTTGTTTCGATATCGTCGTAATGCAGTCTCTAAACTTGAAATTTTCTCCTTCAACTTTTCATTCTGGGCTTGACTCTTTTGTAACCGCTGCTCTAAAGAATCCTTTTCTTTCGATAAAATTTTCACTTGGTGCCTGCTTTGCTTGAGCTCTTCTTGACTCTCTCCAGCTACTCTTTTGAGGCTCGCCACCTCTTGCCTCAATTCGACAGACTTACTCGAGCTAGAACCTACTTGAGCTTTTACCATTCGCTGATAAGTTGACCGAAGATCGTCAAAATCTAGCCGAAGTTGCTTCTCCATTTTTTCAATTCTATCTGCTCTACTCTTCTGAATGTCAATCTCCAATCCTTTTTGATACACTTCATCTTCTAGCTTCTGCAAAGTCATTCTCCATTGTCTCCGTTCTGCTTCGAAATCGCGCTTGGCTAACTCTAATGGAGATGGCACCACTCTCAACTGTTCCTCCACCGGCTGAATATTTTCAGGATTCACCATCGGGATATTGTCATTTACTCGACCGCTTCTCCACTGCTCGTACTCTTGAGACAACTCGAGATCATAGGTAAACAATTTCACACGACGAGTTTGCTTCCAGGCCTCAGCAACCCCTTTAACTTTACCCTTATACTGATCTCCTTTGAATGCAAAATCCGACCCTACCAAGTCCCATGTGGCTGGAATGAACTGCCTTGACCCATACTGTCTGGAAACTAGTAGCGGTGCATACCCAACAGAACCCCATATACCTGGCAAAGGAACCCAATCTCGCTCTCCACATCGGTAAAGTATATCCGAAGAAGTATTCCACGAAGCTCGCCACAAAATATCTCCATCTCTGATATCCTTGAAGATGACCATCCATTTTTCTTCAGTAAAACCCCCAGGCCACTCTTTAGAAAGAAAATCTTTCAAAGGCGAAAACCCCTCTAGAAACACTCGTCCTGGTGCTCTTTCAACATGTTTGAAATGACTCAGAATCCATACTAGCAGCAAAGGCGCACATCCTATAAATCGTCCTTCTCCCTCGCGCCTACAAGAACTCAAAGACCGGAACGTCTCAGCTAGAATAGCTGGAATTGGATCCACACGCTTGTCTAATCTTTCAAACAAGTCAACGACTGATACGTCTACATATCCTAACACTTTTGGAAAAATAACAAGCCCATAAATCCCTAAAGCAAACAAGTCCAGCTTCTTTCTCTTATCAGGATGATGAGCAATTACTTCTTTCAGAGCAGCCCAAGAAATGCACTCGCTGTCTCCTTTATTCTTAATGTTTCTGACTACCAAATCTTCACTCATTCCGGTCATCAATAGCAATTTCTTCTTAAATGAAGGAGTGACTGGCAGCTTGGTATATATTCTATCCATTTGAGACCTCGGACAACGAACCAAAGCTTGATACTCCTCTATTGTTGGTGTCAGGTCTACTCTACCAAATGTGAAACAACTATAAGCTGGATTCCAGAACTGCGCCAATGCTCTAAACAGATTTCGGTCAATAGGAACATCCAGAAGATAGGGAATATCACCGTACAACTGATAAAACATCTCTTTATCGACTGCTTCCCATCTTCCCCATATCTCTCTTAGCTCACTCAGATCATTCTGACGTACGTTGATGTGAGTATAACCAAATAACTCCGACACATATCCAGGCATTACGCTGTCTCCATTGGTCAACTGGGACTGTTCCGACCACCTCAGAACATCTGCATTGTCCTCAACTTCTTTCCGAACCGTTCGTTCCATATTACTGGCCTTCTATATGGACATCGACCCCAAATCAACACCATGTAATGGACAATGCAATGCAAAACAGAAAAGAAACAAGGCAAAAACAACAAAAGATCGGTTAGTAAACATGAAACAATTAATTCAGGATAATAAATTGTTCAAAAATCCTACCCACATATGTTGACTACCCCATCATGCTTTATCAGATCCTACCCAATATGATATCTACCCCCATGCTTTGTTATCCACAAAAAGAAATCCTAACCTCATGATATCTAATTCGCATGCTTGTTCAAAAAATACACCTAACCGCATGATATCTAGTTCGCATGCATTTATTCGAAAAAACGAAAATAAATGACTCAACAAAGCTTTTCCTTGTGTACCCTCCTCACGGGATTCTTAAGGTTCGGGTTTGGTTCAACCTAAGTTCAGGCTCTACGTTCACTATATGCTGGGTTAGGTTCTAAAGTAATAGGTTCTCGAATTGTCCTTGCCGGTGCCCCATTGGGCTGCCGAACCCTCAATCCTGGCCCATCACAGGCTTTAGGGGATCGAGTTCAATTTCGAGGGAACACACCTCCTTATGTCCATGCGGAGGTGATTACCATCACGATGACCATAAGGCGTGAGCTCCAGGAGTGATCCACTATCCCATGCGGAGGTGAAAACCACACGAGGGCATAGTCTCTCACTCCTACTTAAATAGGACGGAGCGGGGTTTTAGCTCATGTTATGATAATGCAGCTGTGCAGTGTGTGAGGAAAAGCGAGAAAAAAAACACTCAAAATCAATTCCTAAAACAAACAATTATTCTGAAACCATTAGCAAACAGATTAGTACAACTATTTAATTGTTAATCGAATTAAATTAAAAAAATCAAAATATAAACAAAACTTATTAAAAACCAAACAAGGGATCAAAAATCAAATTAAAACGAATTTGTAATTTTTCAATTGCAAAGATAATTAATTAATCGACTATCGGCTTGACTCTCTAAAAAAGGTCCCCAGTGGAGTCGCCAAGCTGTCGAAACGATTTTTTTCTTAAAGGTGAAAAAAAGGAGATTTTAAAAAACCACATCAATTCTTAATTATTTCTTTTTAATTTAAAAACAAATGCGATTTAAAAGACCTCTCGTTTCGAAAATTTTTAGATTTCCTTTACGATCGAAAAAATACAATTCAAAGAGTCGCCACCAATCTTTGATTAGGGTGTGATTGGGCACCCAAAAATGATGTCATTTTAAATAAAAATTAATTTTAATTAAAACAACAAATTGAGGTCTGCGTTACCAAAATCCGAGTTCGGGAGTCAGTTACGTGTAGGGAAGGATTAGCACCCCCACCACGCCCTAAATCGGTACCTAGTCGATTAATTAACGTCTTTGCAATGAACTTTACAAATTCGAGTTTATTTTGATTCTTGATCCCATAAAGTAAAAATGTAAATTTAAAACATTCAAAAACACTCAAACAAATTAAATTAAAATTACCAAGTCATTTTAGAAAGATAAAGGATGTTCGATTATTTACAAATATCGAGACCAGATCTTAAAGATATAACAACCTTTTCTCGATATATTTAAATAAACGAACATTTCTTTTTCTCTCATTCCCAAATTTTAGGTGACAAATCAATTTTTTTGTTTCACTTTCGGGATACACTTTTATTTTAAAATCATTAAAAGCGGACCTCAAATCAGTTATGACTGCCACTTCAATAATTTTAAATTAAAAATATATTACCCTTAATCCAATTATGAATATGGTCGAGTTATGCAAATGAAGCTATCATGCATATTATACAAAATAATGTCATGCAAAAACAAAATTAATTAAAAAAATATATGTTACATCTAAATCCATGCTTATAAACCACGTAATAGCATATGCACACATATCATCATCGTTCAAACCAAGGATAAGCATACATCATAAACGGATCCTAACTAATCACATATGCATGCACATAAGAAACTTAAACATGAACTAAAACGTAACATGTAAAAACTTGGAGCCCTAATGTCTAGACCACAAAAACGAAATAACCAACATTTATGACCAAAATTAAATGCGCATGAAATGCAAAGATCAAATAAAACACAACAGATTAGATTTAAAGACGAAAATGCCAATTAACCAAAATTACGTGCCAAATGCATAAACAATAAAATAAAATTAAAAAAAAAACATAAACAGGTGACCAAGAAAGAAACACTTACAAACATGAAGAAAAAATTATAACTTAGAAAATGATTTAGTGACTCAAACATGACATGCAAAACAATGAAAGTCAAAAGTCAAAAATAGCAAAATTTAAAAAACATAAGACTGGGGACCGAAATGAAATGCACGAAAGCTATAGGAACAGAATTAAAAAAACATAAAAACTACAACATAGGGACAAAAACGAAACAAAGAAAATTAACAGTTCAATGTCTGAAACGGCAAAGATTAAATACAACAACACTTAAGACTAAAATTAAATGCGGATAAAATAAAGAGACAAAATTAGAAACATGAAAACATTCAGTTTGGGGACCAAAATAAAAATAAACACAAAAACTAGAGGGATTAAACGACATTTCACCCTAAGGATTCGGTGGCTAAAAGTTAATTAACCCTAAATATAATATATATCCTAACTTTAATCTAAATCTAGACTAAACTTAAACCTAAACACACAGCCGCTCAACCTCTCCATCTCCTCTCTTCCACGCACAGCGCTGCACCTTCCCTTTCTACTCATTCTCGACCTCCTTCTCCGATGGCCACTGACGAGAGCCTAAACCCAAAGCCTCCCTCTGCTCACCGACCCCCGCTAAGGAGCCGGAACAAGCCAGGTAAACTCTAAACCCTCGTCCTCTCTCTTGTTTTATTATTTCTCAAACTCTCACCTAATCTTATTTGTTTTGGTTTTACCCTTGAAATGTGTTTTATTATTATGCTGCTTGATTTTCTAACTGTTTCGAAATGAAGACATAGATTAAACTGGAAATCGAAATAAGGATGAAAAATACCAAAAAAACTTCTCCTTGCTTTCAATTGCTTCTTTGATTCCAATGCAATGGTGAGTGAAACTCTTATTACAATGTATGTTTTTTTTTGAAGAGTTCTGTCCACTGTGGTTGATGAACGCTTTTTGTTTTTAATTGTTGCTTGAATCCTCTGTTGGAATTGCTCTCTGGTTACTGCTGATGATCCTCTGCTCACCTCCCCTTGGTTAATTTTTTTTTTTTGCCCTCTCTTTCTGTTCTTTTCTATTTGTTGAAAAATGTATGTAGAAGGAATCGTTTTTTTTCCCTCATTCCAAGATGGTCTCCTTTTTCAGTAGTTAAATTCCCCCTTCTCTCTCTGATTTCTGATGGTTAATGCCTCCAAAAAAACTTACTCCTTACAGTTTCTTAGTTGTTCAAGTAGTGTTCTCCTCCACTACCGATAATGGCTCCTCTTTTGTTAACTGCCTTCTCACGTTTATTTCTGGTTTTTTAACTCCCCATAACTGCTTTCATTTGAAAATGGTAAAGGTCAGACAAATTAAGCATCTACAACAGCATTGCACCTCCTGACACTGTAACATGGGTTCCCCAGGTCTTGCCTGAAGCAGAGGCCTTGGCTCAGAAGGAGGATTTGGTTCTCTGGCCTTCAATGGTTGTCATTCACAATATTTCCATGGCAAATAACAATCCTCAAGAACAGAAAGTTGTTCCAATCGAAGGGGTGCAGGCTTTTCTGAGTGGTAAGTACTTGACTGAAATTTGCATGATAATTTGTTTAGTAAACGGCTTAATGTATTTAGTTCGAATTGTTGAGTGCAGCAGAAAAGATGGATGTTTGATGCCTGCTAATATATCAACAAACAAAAATGATGAACAAAATAGAATAAGAAAGGATGACTGTTTGAGTTGAATTGCCTGTGGATGTGCACTACGAGTAAATGGAATTAATCATAATGTTAAAAGCTTTTTACTTGCTGGTGAATATGAAAGACTTTCTTTGACCAGAAGACGAGACTGATCTTTTTCTTTTTTTTTTACTTTTCCTGGCTTATGCTTTTTTTTGTTCTTTTTCTTCCTCTTCTTGGTTCTTGAATGATGACAGATAAAGGCTTTGTTGGGGGGAAAATCACCGTGTGCCTAGGGAGATCTGCAGACCAAAGTATTATGGTGGTGAAGTTCTTAGGCACGTTTACCGGACTGGCAACGGCAGAGAGACTTCACAAATATTTTGTGGAGAACAAGCATGGGAGAATCGAATTTACATCAAAAAATAATGGCGAAAATAGCATTGAGGAAATGGGTGACAATCTGGAGGAGCAGCTTCTTTATGGTTATATGGCAATTTCAGAGGACTTGGACAAACTTGATTTTCATAACAGGAAATGGAGTGTGGTAAAGAGCAAGAAGGAGATCCTTGACTTGGCTAATGATCCTGTCAAGACTGATGAAAGGTAGCTGTTTATAAATATGTAAGAAGCTTGTTTATTGCATCTAAATGGCCCTGAAAGAATATTTTAAAAATTACTGTCTAAAAAACTGATTGATTAAACCTTGTTATCTGCTAGCTTTGTACTGTCTGTAATCATGGTATCCTGAGACTATTAATGTAGAAACATATAGTATAAGATTTGCTATATTTTTCTCTACTTTTGTCACCATTTGTTGCCTTGTTATTTACGTGTTAAACTGGATTATGAGCAGGGCATGAATACTGGGAGTACCCTTACGGGGTGTTTGGTTCAAGGATAATTTGGATAATTTGATCAAATATACATTCCAATAATCTTTTATTCCTTTAACTAAACACGGTAATTTTACATTTTTGCTAAACCAACCAAACACAAAATACAACCAATCAAAGAGGATGATCTTACCATTACCTGCCTCGCTCCATTCACACTATCAAAACTTCAATAATATAATATCTGCATTCAACTTATATATTGGCTTGATTGGTAATTCATTATTGTTATTTTCTAGCTTCAAGGTTCAAAAAGGTTGACTTTTTTATGTAAGTTATTTAATATCTCTACTATGTTATATATATATATATATATATATATATAATTATTCACACAATAAATAATCAAATATCTTAATTTTTATTTGGCTAGAGCATTAATGGTTTAGTAAGTTATCCATTTATTGGGTTAAAGGTATCTAAAATCTAAAAACCCGGTTTTTTCCTTGAATTTTTGGATAATCAAAAATTAAAATTTTTCCGATCTGTATACAGTATGATTATTTGGTTTTTTGGATATTCGATCCAAATTATTCAATAATTAAAAAATAATTCAAATATTCAATTTTTTTAATAAGATCAACGAAGTAATGAATTAAATCAATCGAACCAGATTTTTTACATACCCCTAATAGAAATAGGGTTGTTTATAATTAGATATCTATATTTTTGGGTATTTAAAATGACAAACATTTTAAAAAAAATAGATATTAAAATGTCTGCTAAGATCTTAATCGATTAAATTTGAGTATATGTATTAATAAAAAAGAGTACATGTAAATTTAGAATATTTTAAGGTTTGAAGGAAATAATTCAGAAAATAATTTAAAATGTTATGATGAAGTAATTTAGAAAATATGAATTTCAAAATGTCAAGATGAAATAATTTAATTCATTTAAAATTTTAGAGTAAAATAATTTTAATTTGATAATGAAAAATCTAATATAAAATAAAAATAAAAATATGAAAAAGGATGAACGATGTACCCACCAACACTAAGAATTCAAGTAATTTAAAAGATAAAACCACTGAGGACGATATAAGCAGAGTCATTATCCACTGAGGACGCCACCTCCCTAGGAGTATCTCGATGAAAAACCACTCCAATCGGGCTACCTCTGGCCATAGCAACAAGCTTATTCGCTACCTGATTGGCCTCACGATGAATGTGAAAAAATTTAATCTCTCATTCTCTATTGATAACCCCTCATGGATCAGAGAGATTATTGGCCTGCTCTCATTTGCTTGGGAAGACTTATTGATGAGGTCCACTACTACTGCACAATCCGTCTCCACCTCGACTTTCCTGAGCCCAAGATTCCAGACATGCAAAAGTATATTGTGTATTGCCCACAATTCAACATCCAATGCAGAGCAAATACCAATACTTCGAGAAAAATAAAAAATCCAATCACCCTGAGAATCTCGGATTAACCCTCATGTCGTAGTCATCTTCTCCGACCCCCGACGACATCGTCTGTGTTTTTATTAACCCAATCAATTGCAGCACGACTCCAACGAGGCGCTTCTCTTATAAGGTTGCCATCTCTTTGATGCACCACCTCAGCTACTATAATTTCATCCTTAATTTGAAGACTTTGAGTTAATAGGTCTTCATGCTCGATAAAATAATATTGGAACACCGCTATGCATCGTCTTTTACATATCTTCCGGCAGAGAACAACAAAAAGTTTCTCCCAGTGTCTACCATTGAGCGCAAAGTTCCCTTGTCCCTTCAAGTTTGCGATGAGCCATTCCTCAGTAGGCATTGTCATAAAATTATGGAAATTTTCAGCTTTTATTAATCTTTGCCAAACATTTAAAGCAGCAAGGCACCTCTGAAGTACGTGAACCATATCCTCTATCTTAGTATGGCATAAGGGACATTGGCCAGTCGAGGCAAGATGTTGACGTATCGTTTTTCATTCGTCATCAGCCTGCCATGCAACGTTATTCATAGAAAAATTTTGGTTCTTTACGGGACTTGTAATCACCACACAACTTTCCACGATCCAGTAGCTTCATTGTGGAATATTGTTTGGGATAACGCATCATATGCAAACTTCATGGTGAAACCTTTAGATTGTTCCCAACGCCATCCTGGTTTATCTTTACCAAGAGATGGATTAGGTGGATAGATGTCTGCGATCTGGTTACACATATCTCGTGGAATACTATTAGAAAGCCTATTCCAATCCCAATTACCTATTTTTTGTGGCCATCGAGCAAACCAGAGCTGATTGCGGATTAGCACTAAATAAATAATGAGTAGAAACGGTTCGAGAATGTCCAGCCAGTTATCTTACCAAAAATCAGTATGAATATCATTTCGCACATTCCAACCAATGTCTCTTCGCATATCCTCCTAGATGCAATCCAACCCTTACCAAAGTCTCGAGCATTTAAGACGCTTAACATTCATCGAAACCACACTATTTCAACGATACTTGTTCTTTATAACTTTAACCTATAGGTTGTTAGTATCTTCCACAAGTTGCATTTCGATTTTCATGAGAAACGCGTTATTTTGTTAGGCTAAGTCTTTAATACCTAAACCTCCATTCAATATTTATTGTTAAACTATTTACCACTTAACTAACGAAGGGCTATATTTCCAAGCAAACCTTCCAATTAGTTTTTTCCAAATCATTCCTTTAGACAACCAAGTGGACTGCATGCCATAGCTTGAGATTTTTTGTAAAACTAATTTAGTGAGGGTAATACGGTCCGCTAAAGATAAAGTTTTCGTCGCCCATCCAAGTCTTTGTTCCACTTTCTCAATTAGACAGTGGTAAGTTTCTCTCGTTACTCTACTATGCAAAAGTGACAGTCCTAAATATTTTTCAGGATTAGGCACAACTTCAAAATCGAAGCTTTGAGCTATCATATCTTTCCTACCAACATCACAGTTCTTCGAAAATAATATTTGTGTTTTAGTACTGCTTACCCAATGGCCTGAGCAAGCACAAAAACCTTTCATGATCTCTTTTATAACTCAAACTTGATCCATAGATGCTTCAGCAAAAAGAATCAGGTCATCTGCAAAAATAATGAGAGATCCCAGGGTTATACCGTGACAGGTGTATTTGATACCAATTTTCGCGACCAACACTTCTGTTTATGGCATGTGATAACCTCTCCATGCATAATGTCGCAACAGTCCTTCTAGTGTTCCTGGATTCTTGCATCTACTTGGAATTAATGATAGAGTCACCATCGATCGTTTTCGAATTAGGTAGATCATACATCAAAGGTTTACTCATTTATCGGATTTGCATCGTACCAGAGAATTGTCGGATTCGGGAGTCAATTACAATCGAGGAAGGATGAGCACCCTCGAATTACCTTTTCGGTATCACACGATTACCCAATTGTCTTAATTAAGAAATTTGAGATTTAAATAAAAAATTAAAAATTTGATCTAAATTACTTACTTTTGAGAATTGGTTACCGTAAAATAAAATAAATGAAAATTTAACAAATAAGAAAATTTGAGTATAATATGCATGAACAAAGTAAAAAGTCACGGTACCATGAATAAAAAATATACAAAATATAAGCACAAATATGAAATAAATTAACACGAGAATTAAATAAATAATAAAAGACATGTGAAATAAAATATTAAAAATGTCATCAATGCAAATAGTTGAAGAAATATGAATAAATAAAACTAATTTCAAAGTAAAAATCAAACTTAAAAATAAGGCAAACATAGTAAATAAATAAATAAATAACAAACTAAAAAGGGAAACGCAAGATTGAAATATTAATAAAGGTGAAAACAATAAGGAAGCAAATTGAAGGAAATTAAGAATCCTAATTATAATAAAAATTGAATAAAATTAAAATGGAATAAGAAGTCAATGGCCGCATAATTGAAACAAAAAAAATGGTTAAATTGTGATGTAACTGAAGTTAAGGAAATTACTTGAAAAACCTAAACAAATTAAAAGAAAGATTAAATCAAAAAGAAAATGAAATTTAAAAATAAATTAGAAAGAAATCGAAGTAAAATTAAATGAAAGGGGACTAAAATGAAATATTAAAATAAAATGCATGGACGACATTATAATTATCCCCTACCCATATAAAAACATGTAGATCTTATAATTATCCCCTAATTAAAACCCTCAATCTTATCTAATCCCACCGATTTTTTAGATAAAAAAAAAGAAAATAGAAAGATTATAGGTTTTCACTAAGAAACATCATGAAAAACTAAATTCACGAAGATTAGTTTAAAAGTCCTTTTTCCCTTGTTCCTTGGTTTTTTTTATTAAAAAAATTAAAAAAAAAAGAAGGAATAAAAACAAGACCGAAATTGAAAAGAGTGATAAGATTAAAAATAAAGAGAAAAGATTACCTTTAGTCAAATGTTTTCTTTTATTACTTGTATTTGTTTCGTTACAAAATAAGAATGTCTATTTATACGCTCTCAAAAGTCCTAAACGCAAAAAAACCTTAAAATCTTTACATTAATGTTAGATACTAATTAAGAAAAATAAATATCAACATATTGAAAAGATCATAAAATGTCCTAATTAAATAATGAAAAATAGAAAGTTAAATTTATTAACAAATAATTAATATATAATTGAAAATTCGAAATAAATTAAAATTCTCATATTAGACCCATATCTAATTTTCTGCACGCATTGTCTTCGCTAAAATGAACATATCTTGAGTTCTCAATATTCGATTGAGGCTTTTCATTATGCGTTGGAAAACTAAATAAAAGT